GCTCACGAGCTCATATCAAGGCTCGCGAGCCCATATCAAGGCTCGAGAGCCAAGCCAAGCTCAAATTATATGGGCTCAGCTTGGCCTGAGCCCAACTTTTAAATTTAGGCTCGACCGGGCTCGGCCTATGGGGAGCTTTAACCATAGCACAGTGAGAAAACAAGTATTTTTGATACATTGTAGTGAGCATGCGTTTGTTGGAATTTTTGAACAATATATTGAATGGTATTCACCATGTGGGAATTTTTATCAATGTAGATTTAAAGGTACAGAATTTTATAATATATTAACTGAAATTTTTAAAGATAAGCAGTGGGGAGAATGTAATTATGGGCAAGGTCAAATAAGTTGAGTACAATTAATTTCAAATTCTACAAATACTATAAAACAAGATAATCAGAATTGTATTAATCAAATTATATAGAACAAGATAATCAGAATTGTATTAATCAAAATTATGTAGAACAAGATAATCAGAATTGTATTAATCAAAATTATGTAAAACAAGAAAACTATATAGAACAGGATAATTATATAGAAATGGAGAATCAAAATCACAAAGAATTAATTAAAACAAATAGAAAAAAAAAAGTTTGAGAAAATTGAGAAAAACAAATAGAATTATTTATAGAATGAAAAATAAAAGGCTCTAGGGATAAAACAGAACATAATTGTTTTACAGGAGATATATCATTTCATTTTATTACAGACAATGCCATGTTTGTAGAATAATTAAATTTTGTATGTGGGTTAATTTTTTTAAATAAAAAAATATTTAAAATTAATTTTTTTTTTATAATATCTTTATTTTATTTAATATATTTATTTAATTATTATTTACATAATAAATTGTGATTAGGAATTAAATTTCTAATCTATATTGAGTGGTTTTTTTAAAATGATTTGGAATATTTTCTAACCAATAAAATAATTGTCAATTCTCATGTTCTAATATTTCAAGAATCAAAGATTTTTTTGAATTTTCATGACCCCATCTTTAAGAGTATTTTGAAAATATTGGCAAACTTGTATATGATTTTTTTTTTTCAACTGCTGCACATGAAAAAGAAATCAAACCTAAATCTTGATGAAGATTTAAAAATTCTGGAACATGATAGACTAAAACATGCATATATGGTGTACAGTCTGTAGGCCTATATAAACCTCTGATAAAATTCTGATATGGATGACCTTTTGATGGTATAAGAAAATATTCTAACCATTGAATTGCTTTTTGCTGAAAATATGATTCAGTAATATTTTTTCTATGCAAAAGATTAAAAAGTTCATCAAAACCATTCCATAATTTTTGAAGTTGTTGTTGTTTTTCTTTTGATAAATAATTTACATTAATAGAAGCAAAATTAAATTCATGTAAGACTTTAAGCTTATCTGGATCCATCATAGAAATATAAGATAATTTATTTGAATTTTTTTCAGACCAAAATTGAAAATTAATTTTTAATCTTTTCATTTCCATTATAATTTGCTGTTGAATTATTTGTCCTAATTCACCATTTCGTTTAAGATCAGAAAGAAAAAGTTCAAAAAGTCTATCTGTTATACGAAGCATTATATGCAATTCATCACAAATCCAATTAGTAATTTCAATCATATAAAAATTGGTTCACGGATATGTCCTTGAATTTGTAAAAAGTTTTGTTTAATATTAGAAATATTTTTTGTAATTGTCCAATTTCCAATTAATTTTCCATTACTATCTAATTTTCCTTCATCATTTTTATTACATAAACACCATGAACAAAAATAATTCGAATTTGCTGCATTTATTCCTAAACAAGTAGCTAAAAATTTCCAATCAGAACTGAAATAAAGTTCTACATTCCAAATAATGCCACCAATTTGATGAAATCCATTTCTTTTAAATTTTAAAGATTTGAAACTAAGGGAACAAGTAAATTATGAAGTGATTCATAACTTTCAGAGCCAGGATATAAGACTAATGTATGATGAGATTCTGGTTTACGTAATCTTTCTATATCATTAAGTAATGCTACTGTAATCATAACATGTTTGACTTTTCTTCCTACATTTCTTCCATCTTCAGAGATACGTAATTTAATTTTAGATTAATTTGGAATAAGAATACCTTGTTCAATATATTTGGGAACAATATAATTTAAAATATCTGTAATTCTTCTTTGTCCACCTTTTCCAATATAATCTATAACATTTTGAATTATTTCAGGTTCAGTAATATGTGGTTGACCAGAAATAGGTTCAAAAGTAGTTGGTTGATAAATATTTACAAGTGATATAGGAATATTTTTTTATACTAATTCATTAATTCTTTTTCGTGTAATTGATATTGATTTTTCACATGGTAAATGTTGATTAATATCTGCTAATGATCTATATGCATCTCTTGAAACCCTTCCACGATCTAAAGATTTAACTACTGCATGTTTCAATTTTGTATCATTATCCTTGTCAAATTTTCCATAATTAATATCATAATTTTTTTCATTAATTTCAAATCTAACCTGTTTAATACGAATATTATCTTTCAAATAAAATAAATTCTCTTTGTTTTGTTCAACTTCATCATACACCTGTCTTGCTAATTGTAAAACATGTCTTCATTTGGTGGATTTACTAAGATCATCAAAAGGATGTATTTCTGGATCTTTCTCTCGAAGGATTTTTCAAACAGTTTCAACTGTTTTTAATTGTAATCCAAAAGTTGAACACCTGATATTTTACTTGAGGTTGTTACATCTTTATTAATTTTTTTGATATCTTCTTCTGTTAGAGTTTTATTTTTTTCAAGCATAAGTAACGCCTATAAATAATATAAAATTAATATATTATATTAAAATAAATTATTTTTAATTATTAATATTTACCGTAATATATTTATTTCCGGCTCCTGTTGAAGAATTTGTTGAGCAAACATTATATTCCATATTTTCACCAAATTGGATATTATACAAGGGCTTTCCGTCAACATATTCAATAGAACATTCTACTTGATATTTTTTTTTTCGTGGATAGTTTTAACTTTATATTGGTGTGGAATTGGAGATGATTCGGGTTTTTTTGTATAAACTATTTGATATTTTGGAGGATATACTCCTTCATTAATAATAATATACTCCCAAGTTTGTCTTGAAGTTTTGAAAATTATATTCTTGTTTGAAGGATAAGTACTTATTTCGTCTCCTTTCATTATTAACAGACAAAAAACGTAAACGCGTATGACGAATTTAACTATAGTCAAATAAATTGACACACATTTTTTGTGGAACAGATCTGCAATCATTATACCCCAAAATTTTTAAGGTATGAACCAAATGCGCCCATATGTTAGATGTTGATTGACATCTTCCCAAAGTTGTTTAACAATAATTTTTTTATAAGGTCTTCAACAACCGAAAGGTGAAAATAACAAATAAGTGGTAGGCATTGTTGCAATGTGAAAATTTTCCTTGGTCCATTCTTTAAGGTTGATAAGGAAAGTAGCATTCTGAGTAATTCCCCATTGATGAAATAATAATTTCTTTCATTTGGAAATTGCCTTGTTTTGAGAAGAGATATTATGAACTATCAAACATAATATTTGGATACTTGACTAAAAATCATTATAAAAATTTTCTAAAGTTTTTCTTTGACAAAAATAGTCTGGTAGACAAAAGAAAAATGTTTTCAGAGAAGAATTTCGCATTTGTTTGTTAGTTTTGCAAATTCAAATTCATTAGTAAGTCAAAATAAATCTGATTTCAGTAAATAAATAAATTCATAATAATTATTGATGATAAATTACTTAAGAACATCAAAAATTTGAGTATATTTACTTGACTTGGTAATTATCACAATTAATTACGATCGATATTTCAATGTGTAATAAAAGAATTTTTCCTTATTTTCGACTTCAATGATTGCACTGTAATCATCTTTGTCATTAAGAAAGTTGTTAAAGGCATTTTTCTTTTTGGAAATTATTGAGTTGAAAAAAATGAAAGGTTTAACAAAATGGGAAACAATATATATTTCAATTTATTTATTAAAAATTTTTATATACATGAATCAAAACAATGAATATAATATTTAAATTAATCTAACGCGATATGAAATTTTTCATCCGATTAAAACTTTAAAAGAATTTAAAATGCCCCTTTGTTTAAACCAAAATCGTGTAAACAAAAGTAACACCAATCGCCCACAAACAAATAATCATACGATTTAAATTATCTTTCCATATATTGTTAATTGAATTGCCAGCATTAGAAGAAAGAGTAGAAGTAGCAGTAGCATCACCAACAATTTCTACAACAGCTTCTGCAGTAACCTTTCTAACGATAATCTGGGTACTTGGAGGAATATATTCTTCAGTTGGAGTTGCTATTCCATTTGTAGTTATCATATAAGTTGTAGTATAACCTGGATAAATTATCGTGGTCGTAGTATAGAAAGTGGTGGTCGAATGTACTGTTTTTGAAGTACGACCACGTGTAGTAGTAGTAGAACCAGTAGTAGGACCAGGAGTAATAGTAGGATCAGTAGTAGTTATACTAAGAGTAGTTTGAATACTACTTCCCGATTCCGATTGTGGATCTGGTTCGGTTGTTGTAAAACATTCACCCGTGACAGAGGTATTCCTATAATTTTTGTATAGAAAAATAAGAAATAATTTAATCGAAACACGAAGTCAAGATAAATGCATTTAAAATATTTGAAATATGACAAGACTAGAAAAATAGAATTTTAGAATAACCTACACTGAAGTATCAACTTTACATGAGTGACAAGAAAAGCTAGCAGTGGTGGTTGTTTCTGTCGGAATAGAATAAGAAGTAGTAGAATCTAGTTGAGTAGAAATGGAATAACTGTTAGAATCGGTTTGAGAATTTGTAAATTTATCATAAGTATCATTCGTTTAATTTTATCTTCACACTACCAGTAGTATTTTTTGATGACATAGATGCAGTGGTTGATTTAGTTGAATCTGGAGTTGTTGAAGTATCCGTTGAAACATCAGTTGGAGTTGGAGTTGAAGTTGTTGAAATATCTGGAGTTGGAGTTATTGAAGTATCCGTTGAAATATCAGTTGGAGTTGGAGTTGTTGAAGTATCTGTTGAAATATCAGTTGGAGTTGTTGAAGTATCCGTTGAAATATCAGTTGGAGTTGGAGTTGTTGAAGTATCCGTTGAAATATCAGTTGGAGTTGGAGTTGTTGAAGTATCCGTTGAAATATCAGTTTGAGTTGGAGTTGTTGAAGTATCCGTTGAAATATCTGGAGTTGGAGTTATTGAAGTATCCGTTGAAATATCAGTTGAAATATCAGGAATTGATTGAGCTGAAACACATTTAATCGAAATAAACAAAACGAACACCATGATTAAAAGTAAAGTAAAACGCTCCTTTTTCATCTTCATAAAAGTAATTGACATTCTTTTTGGTGATTTTTCGGTTTGCTAATAAAAATATGGTCTACTTTTTTTATACGAATGAATTTTTTAACCAATACGATTTAATAAATAAAAACAAATATGATGCTATTCTGTATTTTTTTTTTAAAAAAACAGTTATTTCGAGATTTTTTATACTAACGAGCCAAAGATCTGCAAAACTATATTTGGAATTTGAATTCAATATTTTAGAATAAAGTTATTGTTATTAATAGATCAATGATGAGATAAAAAAAGAAAAAAGGATGATTAATAATGTCAACAGGATGTTATCTAAAAATCAAAATATAAATTTGAACAATATCAAGAATATTTTAATACCAATTCGAAAATTACTGGACAATGCCGTCAAATTTTTACAGGGTATTATCTTTTTTAGTATTTTGATAAAGATCATTTATGCGATGTGAGCGGACTTTATGAACTCAACACCGTACCGTGATCACGAATTAGGAAAAACATATGGATAATGATAAATATCTAAATTCGAGATTTCTCATGTTGATCGTTTCGAATTTGAAACATCATAAAAGAATTAGCATAAAGTAATAAGAATTAATAATAATTATAATTATAAAAGTGTTTAATAAAACAGAAACTGTGGGTATTCCAGATGTAAAAAAGTTACTACTTCAGAATTATCCTTTGAATTTTGGCCAATCATTCAACTAATATGAGTATGAGATACTAAAAATTCCCATTCTTGACATTTTCAATCATATTATATCAGAGATTAATGTAAACTATTATATTATACAATACAATATGAGATATTTCACCTGATTTAAACTTCAAGGAAATTTAAAGTACCCTCTATTTAATCATAAATTTAGCAAAAATCGTGTAAAGCCAAAAAAATACGATTTAATTTATATTTCCATATATTTAAATTAGTAATTGAAATCACCAACGTTAGAAGTAGTAGCAGTAGGAACAGTAAGAACAGTTGCGTAACTTCTTTAATGACAACTCATTTGGAAGAATATAAACTTCAGCTGAAGTTGCTATTCCGTCATAAGTTGTTGTATAACCTGGAAATAATATCGCATTTAATAAAAGCAAACCCAAGCACATGATATACTACGATAGCTACTCCATGTGATATATCCCATGGAGACTAACGTTCGAGATAATTTTAATTAAAAACTAGAATAGTTAATTAGCCATTTATCGGGTTTTGGCTGTGTCATTATGTATCATGTACTTGTTAATTATTTATAGATGGTTAACATGTATTAAATGTAATTCATTTCAATATTTATCTGGTATATTATAATTTAATTTTTTATTTACCTTGTAATTTAAGTCTCTTGATAATGGTAATAGTTCTGATGCAATAGATCTAGTCTGGTGTGTTTACTATAAATTATCCAACTGCATTAATGAAACATTTGGAAGTGATCTTCCTTGTACATTGTGTATGAGTAACTTTCACGGTTGTTGGCAGTTCATAAGGGTAAATACCCTTTTGGTTAGAACCACTGATAAGGGAACTGGGGCAAATTTTCTTCGTCTATATTTAATGTTTGAAGCAACGTACCAATTCTATTTTTAAAATTAATTTCTTAAATTAATATTTATTCTTTATCCTATTTTATAAAAATAACATCAGTAATTAAAAATCATCCGTCGCATCCCTTTTCAAAACTATTCAGATTACAGTGCCAGTAGAACAAAGAGGATAAAAGGCGGATATATGGATCTTCCTGGCACTTTGTTCTTGTTACCCCACAGCATTTACAATGAATCTTTTTTACTGAAATCTCACTGTGTTATTCAATGAAAAGATGGTATTCGAATGGCAAGGCATTTTCAGGAGACAAAATTTGATTCAAGAGATTTTAAAAAGAATTTATTTATTGATTATTTGTTTAATAACTTGATTATTAATTGCCGCTCAATGGTCGAATTCAAAAATAAATATTTTTTTGTGTTAAGATCTTACATACCGCCCAATTCAAGAAGGAAATATTAACAATAGGATTAGCAAAATTTTATTTTAATATTTCCTTTTTTGAATTTGGGGCGGCATAAGATTTTTTTTTTTGATTTTTTGATCCAATTTTTCTTGGAAAATATATTAATAGATGTTTTATTACCTATACATTGATTTTTAGATTTATGATAATACTTTTATTAAGTAAAAAATTATGACGGGGATTTTGGTATAGTTTTGACGTATAGAAATTGTTTGTAAAATTTTTGCATTGTAAAATTATATTAGACGTTTGAATAGGAAAGCCCTGTGATTTGGTTAGAAATCGGTTTTGTTAATCATTTTAGTGGCTAAAATATTTATTCATTCATTAAAATATATCAACAAATATGTCATAAAAATTAACAATTTTTATTGTCACCATTTTTTTATTATAATTTCACTTATTTAAAAACATTCTTAATAAATACGTCATAGAATCAACAATACTTCCATTGTTTCAATATTATTTCATTAATACTTTATTTATTTAAAATATTTTATTAATAATCAATTTTTTACTAATCAACTTGTAATAAAAAAAATGTCCGATCCAAATGACAATATCACTAAAAGGAATTTTTTTGTGAAAAAGGTCTTCGTGATATCATCTCCAAGTTCACTAAATGTCTGTTGTGATACAGGCCTTCAATATTACATTGACAAATAAATAAATAAATATTTCTGTGTACACAATTATATCTCTCAGAAGGTATTTTTATATATGTATGCAATAAAAAGTGGTGATTAAAGAATTTCCCACAGGATTTTTTATAGTCTGTGAAACATCACACAAAATTATCTGTTAGTGAATTATTTTCATCTTTGTTAAAATATTTTGACGTTCGAACATTTAGTCAATACTAGAGGTACAGACTTACGCTAGGGTCTTCATCTTAATTATCACGTCAATTAGTTACAATGTAGTAAGACGTGACTGTAATCGCGTGTCATAACCATAGTCGTGACCATAGTAATAATAGTAATATGTAGTCGTGTGTCGTAACTATAGTCTTGTGACTATAGTCATGTTTTATATAGTATATGTTCGGTCCGTGGATGCAAAATCTGGATATACACAGATATTCGAATCGGACCACTATATGGCGTAATAGATAAAAATTAAAATGTATAATTTAAGTATTAATTATAGTAATAATTATAATTATAATCAATTATTTAATAATAATTATTAAATAATTAATTAATTAATGATAATAATAATTTAATAATTATTAATTTAATAATTTAATAATTAATATAGTAATAATTAATTAATTAACTAGTTATTTCGATTATCGTATTAATATACATAATTAAAAATTGCTAAAGCTCACCAGTAGTGATTGTCACCACTGGGCAAAAATTTAATTTATGTAAGCAAAGTTAAGGTTAGGGGAAATTTGTAATTTTGCAATGTCCACCAATCGCGGGCCATAGTACCCCCATGTATAGTACCTCCAAAAAATATTTAGATTTTTAAAATACCTGGGTATAAGCAAAAAACTCGAAAATTTTTAATATACCCGGAGTACTATAACTCGTGATATATGGATATTTAATTAGTAGGGGGGTATATATATTATAAGTGACAAATAGCATTTCCCTAACAAAAATCAAATAATGAGGTAGTGATAATAAAATGTAACATCTCTAATTGATTTTTAAGTAACACAAACCTTAACTTTGACATATAATAAAGAGAATTTACTCTCTGGTTAAAATTAGCAATACTCTATTTTGATTATATTGATTTCACCATATAAAACATTTGTATATAGTTATGATACATGAATAAAGTCATGTTGTTGACCCTAGTAGTCAAAATAATAATATAATAAGATAAAAATATAATAATAATAAAATTTATTATCATGTATTAGTTTATTTATATTATCTATACTTTATTAACCTAATTTCATATTTTTATTAGTA